TCAAGCCGCGCTGCGTCTCGGTCTTGCTGGACAAGGCCTCGCTGTAGAACTTGCCGCTCCAGGTCGCTTGCCTGGCGATCCCGCCGAACTTGGCGGCGCCGTTGCCTTCTCAGGTGGCTTTGGGTGTATCCGCGGGGCCTTCCAGGATCGGATCTAGCCCGGTACCGGTGTTTAAGTGCAATCCGCCCGTGCCTGGCCCTGGGTTTTTTCGCCGTGCAGTTGGCGCCCATCCCCCCTCCAGTTGGATCGGCAGTTCGACGACGAGCTTCGCGAACGCCTCGGCCTCAAGCGGAAGGCCGGTGACCCTGTGGTAGCCGCGGCGAGTGTCGTGGAGAGGCAGAGGGCCTGGCTCGCGCGCGGCGCGGCAGGCGCCAGGCCCGGCGCGCGGCGGCCAGTGGAGCTCCACGGGGTCGCAGGCAGGCGCCGGCATCAGAATTTGGACAACCAGCTGATCGAGGGCGCTGATTTGAAGGGCCCGAAGGAATTCGGGGTCGACCTTGAGGACGCCCCGTCTTGGACGACGCGGCGCTGCTCGTCTGCGACACTCGACCTCGGCAGCGACGGCGTCTGCGCGACTGGCGCCATGACCGACTGCGGAGAGCTGCAGGTCAACGTCATGGGGCTCCGGGACCCACTGCTTTTTGCGAACCGCAGCATCGACCTCGCCCTCGTGAAATTGCAGTTGCGAGGCGCATGGATGTTGGCGATGACCTCGTTCAACTTGCCCCGCGGCCCAGACCGATGTGACCTTCGCCGCCTCCAGCTGCGAGGGGTTATGGCTTACTATTTCACCAAGCTTACGCCTGCCGCGTGCCTGGTGTTCCATGAGCTGGCTGCGCGCGTGATCCAGGACCTGGCTCGCGCTTGTCTCGGCTGCCTTCCCGGGGTCGTCTGGTCGGGCCAGGGTGCGTGACTGCCGCTCTTGGATGTAGTGGCCAGATCTGTGGCAATGGTGACCTCTGTCTGTGAGTTCCGCATGTGAGATTGCGCGCGCGTTCCACCTCGTGCGCGTTCCTTCGGGAGCTTGTTCAGGCGCTTCCGCTGCCGTGAGCTGAGCTTCACTGTGTCCCTGAACCCTGTCGGTGCCACAATTGCTGGTGCTCCTGCTGGAGCCGGAGGTTCGCGCTCAGGCCCTGGCGCGGGCCCTGACGCGGGCTTCCGCGCGTAGACAGGCGGCGTTGGTGTCTCCGCTGTATCTCCCGCCATCGGCGAGTCTGACGTCTTAACTGGCCTGGGCCCCGAGGTTGACGCAGTGCCACCCCTCTCCGACTGACGTGGGCGAGGGGCCAGACTCGACGTGAGCGTGGTGGCGGTGCTGACCTTGGTCAATTGGACTGCCCAGTCTTGATTCTGATCCCCGGTGCGTCCAATGACGATGCCATGTTGGCCGTCAGTGGGGTTCTGAACCTGGTTGGCGACCGTTGCCTCGGTGCTTCGAGGAGGAGGAGGAGGAGGCGGAAGAGGAAGAGGAGGAGGAAGAGGAGGAGGAGGAGGAGTTCTGAACCTGGTTGGCGACCGTTGCCTCGCTGCTTCCCAGGATGCGCGGAGGAACAGGGCGCCGGAGCTGGGCCTGCGGGGTCGGCCAGCGCTTCGGTCCTGGTGGACCTATAGCGAGCTGCCGCGCCGCGGGAGTCTCCGTGGCCCCACCTCGGTTCGCGCTGGGCTTCACCCTGGCGGTGGTGCTAGTAGGGTTTGGCGGCAGCCGCCACGTTTAGTCCAGGGTCCGTCGGTGGCGACAACCCCGTCCGAGATCACGCGACGGTCGATGGCCGCGGAGTTCCAGGGGCCTTCGGTCGGTGCCGCAGTCGCTGGCGCTGCTGCTGGCGCCGGAGGTTCGTGCTGAGGCCCTGGCACGTGTTTCACAACCCGGGATTTTGATAAGTCAGAGCGTGCATTACCTACCCCGCTTTCGCTTCCAGGCAAAACCAAGCCATACCACGCGCCTCCTCGTCAAGTGGCCTGACCAGCACAGGCTGCAACTTGGCATCGTTTGGTATCTCTTGGAAGCGAGGGTGGTCAAAAGCGAGGTAGTTTTGTATTCCCCCTAATAAGAAAGCCTTCAGGTCTGTGTGCAGGATGCTCTGCGTGGAGGGAGGCGACCCCTCTTTCGGGCTGGTGCCATTGCCGGGCCGGTCTCGCCTGGATAGAGGCCGCGCTGGTCACCGTGTTTCCAAGGCCCATCACAACGTCCGCGATTTTCTGGCGCTCCGCTTCGAGGCCGCGGAACCGGGGCGTCGGTTGGGTCGGCGACCTCCTGGGCGGTTGGTTGGGGTCGCCATGCCCACGAGGCTCGGCCTGCTCCTCCCATTCTTCGTTCACGTATTCGATCGGGTCTTCTTCGTAACCTGATGGCCTGTGACTGTCGGCACGTAGTGGGATGGTGCTGGTGTGTGGGGTCCAGTGGTCGGCCCTCTGAAGCGGAGGCGCGATCGGGACGCGCAGTTTTAGACATCACTGCTGATGAGGATGTCGGTGCCGTTGCTCTGGTGGGCGTCGGCGGATGCCGTGGCCCCTGCTTTGTGACGGCTGGTGCGGTGCCCGTCTTGTGCTTATTCCAGTGGTATTTCATGATGTCGCTGATCTTTTCCTCGCACGCTTTGACCAGCTCGCCCCTGAGCTTGCCCTGGTCGGAGCGGCGTTGCTGGTAAATGGTACCGGGATCGTCTTGATGCTTGTTAGCAAGTTCGTTGGAAGCAGGGACTGTTCGGATACCGCCTCCGCTGCTCTGGACTTCGGCGCGGCAGGTTTCCTTCCGGCTGAGGTTGGTGTCCTGCCGATCCGTTAAGGTTGCTTTTCAGCGGCCTTTGCCTGGTGGCTTGGGCTGCGGCGGTATATGAAGCGTACAGCGAGGATCTCCAAAACCATTGCGGCGCGCGCGAAAGTATGACATGGGATGTGACGCCAATATGTCACGACCCCTGTCGTGTCTGGTCTTGCGAAGCGGGGGAGGATGTGGGGCGCTTGGCGTCTTGGCCCGCTCTGAGTAAAAATCTCGAGCCGAGACTGGAGAGAGAGAGATAGGGAGAGAGAGTGAGAGAGATAAAGAGAGAGAGAGAGAGACAGACAAGAAAAGAGAAGGGGAGAAGGAGAGAAGGAAAGAGAGAGAGAGAGAGAGAGGGAAGGAGAGAAGAAAAGAGAGAGAGAGATACATATATATATATATATATACACAGAGAGGGAGAAATAAACAACATCACACACCTTGTCGGATAACCCAACCCGTTGTAATCGCTTGGCCGATATTTGCAGGAACGCTCCATGCTCATGAACACACTGAGGGATCTGCAGTGCCCTTGAACGCTTCGCCGAGAAACGGAAAACTACATTTACAGCCGCCCATTTACGCACGCACGCACTCTTCATATTCAAATCGGACATAGGAACGCGACGACGAATGCGCCGCGCAGCAGGGCGGGGGCCAGCCACCATGCGGACGCAGCACTTGAGGCCTTCGGTGGAGCTCCCTTTGGAGGCACGAAGCGTGTGAGGGGTGCGCCGAAATGGGGCGACTCACCATTGAGACGCAGCCACTGAGGCCTTCAGTGGCTACCAAAATGTGTGAGGGGTGTGCCGAAATATGGCGAGTCATTTTGCGGACGCAGTCACTGGGCCCTTCGCCGGAGTTCCTGGGCCCACAATGCCGAAATGGGGCGAGTCACCATGCGGACGCAGCTAGACAGTCCTTCGGCGGGGCTCCCTATGGGGCCGCGAAGCGTGTGAGGAGTGCGCCGGCATGGGGCGAGTCACCATGCGGACGCAGCCACTGGGGCCTTCGGCGGAGCTCCCTATGGAGCCACAGACGTGTGGATAGAGATGTCTTCGGCGGAGCTCCCTATGGGGCCACGAACGTGTGGATAGAGATGACGATGATGATGATGATGATGATGATGATGATGATGATGATGATGATGATGATGATGATGATGATGATGATGATGATGATGATGATGCTGATGCTGATGATGATGATGATGATGATGTTGGTGGTGGTGGTGGTGGTGATTGTGGTGGTGGTGATGACGACGATGATGACGAAGAAGATGCTGATGATGACGATGGTGACGACGATGATGATGCTGACGACGATGATGATGTTGATGATGATGCTGATGATGATAATGCTTCTGATGATGATGGATGTTGCTGATGATGGTGATGATGATGACGATGCTGATGATGATACTGATGATGATGATCCTGATGATGTTGATGGTATTGATGACGATGACGATGATACTGATGGCGATGCTGATGATAACGATGGTGATGATGCTGCTGCTGATGATGATCATCATCATCATGACGATGAGTACGATGATGATTATTAGATGATGTTTCTGATACTGATGATGTTGATAATGTCTATGATGATCATGATGTTGTTGATGCTGATGCTTATGATGATGCTGGTGATGCTGATGATGATGATGATGATTTCCGAAATGCTGATGCTGATGATGCTGATGATGATGACGATGATGGTACTGTAGACGATAATGATGCCGACGCTGGTGGTGATGGTGATGATGATGACGACGATGACGAGGACGCTGATGATTTTGGTGGTTGCACGATGATAGTGAGGCTGGTGATGATGATAATTGTGGCGGAGGTGATGATGACGACGAGGGTGATGATGCTGATGATGATAACTGTGATGCTGATGACGTTGATTAATATGGTGATGATAATGATGGTGCTGATTATGATGCTGATGATGATGATGATGATGATGATGATGATGATGATGATGATGATGATGATGATGACGATGATGGTTGCGTTGATGGGATGGGAGAATATTTGGATGAGAAAGTCACGGGAGGAGTGAGGAGGAAGGGAAGAGCAGGAGGGGAGTGTCACGCGGGGCGCTGCGAATTCAAAACGAGGGCCAAAACACAAGAGGGTTTAGACCAAAGAGAGAGGAAAGTCAGTCTTCTTCTGTGCGGTGGAATGGGTATTGTGGATGATTGGGTAGACCCTTTATGGCTGCTCCGAAGGTGGTCCTGCCAGTCCTGACGATCCTTCGGCTTCGGCTCTCGGCGAAGCGCAGGGGCCCCTGCCGCGGGAACTGCGGGCACATGGTCACCTGGCACGCCACCCACTGCTGCACCGAGTGCGCCAGGAACCCGGGGCACCACGACGACACTTGCGACCGCAGGCAGGTCAGTCACCCGCTGCTCCGGCGGTGCAAAGAGTGCATACGAGCCGCCAGGCCGTGCGCCTTCCTCAAACAGTATTTCCAGGAGGAGGAAGAGAAGGAGGAGCAGGAGGAGGAGGAGGAGGAGGAGGAGGAGGGAGGAGGAGGAGCAGGAGGAGGAGGGAGGAGGGAGGAGGAGGAGGGGAGGAGCAGGAGGAGGACGGAGGAGGGAGGAGGAGAGAGGCGGAGGAGGAGAGGGAGGAGTGAGGAGAGGAGGATGTGAAAGAGGAGAGGAGGAGGGGATGGGGCGGATTGAGCACGAGAGGAGAGATGGTATAAGGGAAGGGAGCAGGTGGAAGTTAAGGAAGGGAGGAGATGGGGGAGGGGGGGGAGGGGGGGAGGAGAGGGGAGGGAGGGAGAAGCGGCAGGGGGAGAGGGATATATAGGGCAAGCCAGGAGCGCTCGCGCCACATTAGACGTCATAGCCCTCCCTCCCATCCCTTCTGACTGCGCTTGTTCTGCTTGTTCTCTCCGAGTTGGGCGTCGGGTCGGACTGTCTTGACCCGTCGCTGACTGTGCAGAGAGCAGAGGGGCCAGGCAGGACCGGAAAACGCGGAGCGAGGACGACGGCGACGTCCTATTGGCGAGTCTCGTGGGGAGACAGTGCGCATCGGTGGAGCGACTTTTGGAGAAACGGTGCGCGCAGTCGTGCTGCGCCGTGCTCGAAGCAGGCAGGCTGATGCCCGGGCCTCGAAGCGCCTTCGGCGCAGAGCAAGGGGGGAGTGGTAGAGAGGGGTGGCGGGGATGAGAGGATTGCACGCTACTGCGGGAGAGTGAGAGAGAGAGAGAGAGAGCCCGACGGTACAGCCAAAACCTTCAGGGGGGTCCATCGGAGATGACCTGTTTGCCACCACGGTGCGGCTCGGAACGGGGATGGGGGAGGGGATAGAAGACGGAGGCAAGAGGAGGGGAGGAGCGTGGAGGAGAAAGGAAAGGGGGAAGAAAACGGATGAGAGAGGAATGGAGGAGGAGGAGGAGGAGGAGGAGGAGGAGGAAAGGAAGGGGGAGGAGGGTGGAGGCAGGGAAGAGGGAGAGGGAGTGGGAGTGGGAGTGGGGATGCCCTTAACTGGCAAGGTGCATGCTTTATTTGCCAGCCAGCCAACCCTCCAACGATTTCGACATGGCCAGCGCCACCAGGCGCTCGCAGGCTCGCCCTTGCAGTTCTCCTGCGGCTCGCTTTGGGGAGCCTTTTGGGGCGCTCCCTGGTCGCATCTCGGGCCCTCTGCGGTCCTCTGTACGCCTCGTGGCGGCGGCGTGGTGCCCTCTCTGCAGGCCTTTGGGGCCATTCGAATTACCCCCTCCGTCGCAGCTCGAAGAGCTACCTCCTGTGGCCCCTCTTGGAACGCTATTGGGGCGCCTCGGGGTCGGGGTCTTCGGGGCGCAAGATATCCTTTGGAGCTATCCTGGAAACATCCTGAGGCTTCAGCAGCCCAGCGGAAGAGAAACGACTCCGCCCAGGGCACGATGCAGCCGCCTCTTCTGACCGCCTCTCTGGACTCCCCCTTCGAGCACCCCGTCGTGACCCGTCCTGGGGTATTTATCTTGCGCCATCTTGGAGCCCATCTTGGGCAATCTTGGAGCCATCTTGGAAGCACCTGGGCCCAGCGCGGACCCTCTGACGCGTCGCGGACTGGGGGCAGTCCAGACCTCGGGGAGTGGGCAGAGGGAGGCAGAGCGCCCTCCCCGCAGGGGAATGAGGGGGGTTTGGGACAGCTGATCCCCTCCCTCCTTCCTCCCTCCTCCCTCCTCCCTCCTCCCTGCTCCCTCCTCCCTCCCTCCTCCCTCCTCCCTCCCCACACCACCCACGCACAGAGGGCCGTAGGGATTTTCCCCCAGCCGTCCGTCTTCGGCCCCTGCTCCTCTGTCCATTACTCTCCGGCCCAGAGCAGGCCGAAGCGAGAAGAAGAGTCGGGCAGGATGGAAGACGACGATATCCTCCTCACTGTGGACGAGGAGGACGAGGACGTTGATGGCTCGAGCGAGGCTGGACAGGACGCGCCGGGTGGCAGACGTCGGTTTACTTGCCCTGCTTCGGTGGAGGTGGGGCGTTGGGCTGATCATCGGGGGATACACGATGACGTACACGTATACAGTGAGCGGCTTGAGTAAGGAACCCTTACTTTTCAAAAGGTGCTCGGTCTTTCCTTAAGGCTTGCATGCGTTACGTATCCTTACTTATGCGTTTTTTTGTTTTTATTATTTTTTTGTCGTTCCTGATGTTTTTTCCTTGGGAAACAGGGGCTTCGTTCCTTATGATCGTTCCTCAGGTCAGGCCAATGACTGTACTCTTTCTGAGGCCCTCGCGGGCCTCCGGCAGCTTCTGCCCGTGCCCTTGCTGGCCCCCCGATGGCCAGCCTGGGAGGGGAGGCCTGCACGGGCGACGCCCGCCTCCCCGCCCGGGGGCGCGGCGGGCTCCCGAGCCGAGCGCCCGCAGGCGCCCGCCCGGCCTCCGCAGGCGCGGGGGGTGACGAACGATCAACACGCACCCATACCCACAGGGGGGACGGAATGAGCTATGGGTGCGTGTTGTCGGAGGGGGGTCCTCGCTCGAATGGGAGCCTCCCCAGGGGTCCGACAACCCGCACCCATACCCATAGCCAGTCCTTCTCCCTCCGACCTCCCTGTGGGTATGGGTGTGTGTTGTTCGTTCGTCAGGGGGGGGGGGTCATGCGATGGGGGCGCTCGTCGGGCATCGCGCCGTCGGCTCCGAGGCGGCGCCGCCGCGACTCGGTGCGGAGCTCGTGCCTCTCCACGGCGTCGGCGCCGACGCATCGCCGATGCATCGCGGCTGCGTCGGCGGAGTGCCGCCGATGCATCGGCGATGCGGCGCGATTCTCCGACCCCGTGTCTGCTCGGACCCCATCCGTGAGGCCTCTACGGTGGGGTCAAATGAGGGTCGCGGTAGCACGCCGGCTTCCAGACCCCGGATCCTGGATTCTTTCTTCGATGACTCTTCATCCAATGCCCTCACCGGATCTGGCGATGGGGAGGACTCGCGAATGGGGCGTTTGGAGCGTCTTTGCCGATGCCCATGGGGCAGGGGCAGTCTTTTCGTTCAGAGACGGGGGGCGTGCATTGCTAACCCCCTGTTTCCCAGACGCTTTGGCATCATATATCATCTGTGTACACAGATGTATATCAGGAGGGGGAAACCACACAGACACAATTAATCGTCGGTTCGCCAGAAAATATGGAACATTATGGGAAGTGGGGGGGAAAACAAAAACCCAGAAAATATGGGCAAATATGGGGAGCTCTTTTATTCGTGTGTGTATTTATTTGTGTGTCCCAGGGCCCCTTCGGTATAGTTCAGTGCTATGGCTTTTCGCTCCAGCCTCCTTGTCCAGATCCGCACTTGCGCTGGACGGCCACCTCTCCCGGCCCCGTCCGCCCCTCCGCAGGACTCGCCCAAGCGTCGAATCTGGGGGATCTCTCCGAGCGCCTCGTCCACAAGCCGATCGTTTGGTTACCAGTCAGACAGTATCGAAGTCGGGCACAGAGGCGACGACGCCACGGACAACGACGTCACGCTCCATGTGGCCATTCAGGCGAGGGCTCAAAATGGAAAAAGCGAACGAACCATCCAGGCAAGAGGGCCAACGATCGTCGTCGAGCAGTGTGCGCGCCCTTCTGCTTTTCAATACTGTAATAGCTTTCGGCCAGTGCTGCTGGTCCGGGGTTCTCTGGATGTGTTGGATGTGACTCTTTCCCTTCCCCCTCTTCTCCTCTTCCCCCCCTCTCCCCTCCGCTCTTTTCTTCCTCTCCCTCCACTTTCGATTCCCTTCCATTTTCCGTCCTACTTGTCATCTTGTCGTCTCCTTACTCACACACACACAAACACCAGCTTATTCACTTACCAGTACCAAGCCTCCCTTCGCCTCAACTCCACCATACGCACGCCCCACATACCACACACACAGGCACGCACGCAGGCACGCACGCACGCACGCTCACACGCACGCACGCACGCACGCACACTTGTTGCGTCGGCGGCCGGGCAGAAGTGCTGCTCCGGCGCTGTGTCATTCGTGGGGCGCGCAGCATGTAAATCAAGCCGCAGTGCGCGTGAGAGAGAGAGAGAGAGAGAGAGAACAAAAAAAAAGAAACCCGGCGCACAAAATGTAAATCAAGCCGCAGTGCGCGAGAGAGAGGGACAGAGAGAGAGAGAGAGAGAGAAACAAAAAACGTGAAGAGGAAACCCGGCGCGGGCGGGGGTGGAGCAGAAGCCAGGCCCGCTCAGAGCGCGGCCTGGCGGCGGCAGGGCAGGCGCCTGTGGGGGGGGGGGAAACCCAGCGGTGGCGTTTTGGGGCAGCCGCTGGGCGAGTAGGCAGCCATGGAGGCAGCCGCGGGCACGCGCCCAGGGGGGGGGCAAGCACGTCGAGCAACGATATGCAGCTGAGCACTGCAACCTCCTCCTCCTCCTCCTCCTCCTCCTCCTCCTCCTCCTCCTCCTCCTCCTCCTCCTCCCTCCTCCTCCTCCTCCTCCTCCTCCTCCTCCTACACCTCCTCCTCCTCTCCTCCTCACTCCTCCTCCACCTCCTCACTCCTCCTCCTCGCCTCCTCCGCCTCCTCACTCCTCCTCCTCACTCCTCCTCCCTCCTCATCCGTCACTCCTCACTCTCCTCCTCCTCTCCTCCTCCTCCTCCTCTTCTCCGCTCCTCCTCCTTCTCCTCACTCCTCCTCACCTCCTCCTCCTCCTCCTCCTCCTCTCCTCCTCCTCCTCCTCCTCCTCCTCCTCCTCCTCCTCCTCCTCCTCTCCTCCTCACTCCTCCTCCGCCTCCTCCTTCTTCTTCTCACTCCTCCTCACTCCTCCTCCTCCTCCTCCTCCTACTCCGCCTCCTCCCTCCTCCTCCTCCTCCTTTGCTCCGGCCTCCCCCCCTCCCTCCCTCCCCTTCCTCCTGCTCCTTCTTGTGCTCCTCCCCCTCTCCCTCCCCCTCCCCTTCCGCCCTCCCTCCCCCGACCTTCCAAGCGACTGCACAGCCAACGAAGACCACCCCAGAGGGGGGCCCGGAGAGGAGCTGGCAAGGGCCCAGGCTCCGGGCAGCGACGGCGCCGAGAGCTATGCTGACCTGCGAGGCGCGAGGACCTCTGAGGGGGCCGCGTGCTGGCTTGAAAAAACCAGGCAGAGGGGGGCCGGCAGGCCTGGGTGGGGGCCAGCAGGCCAACCCACCGTCGTCGAGGTGCAGCCGCACGAGAGGCAGGGCGGCGACGAGGCCAGACGGAGGAAACTGAGAAGGAAGGCGGCGTCGTGTCGGCTGGGGTCTCTGATGCCCCCACCGCGCTGAGTACAATACCCGGCCCAGGCCGCACTGGGTCCACAGCCTGCTCGCTGTATGTTTTTGATTGTGGCGGCCAAGGCTCCGTTAGCATTGAGGGGGCCGTGGCAGTAGACACCTGGGACGGGGATGGTGCGCTCTCCGTCCTGGGGGGTACTGTGGTAATCCTCGGTGCTGGAGCTGCCAGCGTTCGTCGCCGCTTGGGCGGGGGGGTGGGGAGAAGCAGCCGTGGAAGACGGGGGTCACTGGTCGGGATACCCATCGGCACTGCCCTGCGGGAGGGTCACAGCAGTTTTCGGCGGGACGCAAGGTGGTTTGCCAGGCGCTGCCCTGTCTGGGCTGCGGCACGCGATCCACCTGCGTAGGACGGTGCACCCAAGTACCGATGTCCAGCCGTGGCGACGAGGGACGCTTGGGGTGTCCGCGTTGGTGACCCTCCGTTCTGCGATGCTTGAGTGGCGGCGAGGAGGACCTTCTCCCACCGCCCGCAAGCCTATTGCCACCACTCACCCTGGCAGAGGCGTCGCCGAACAAGAGCCTGAGGGCCGGCACGCGCCCTTCTTGAGCCCAGCGGGGCCCCGGGGGAGGGGGCCCAGCTGACCGCCGGGTCCGCGACGGCGCAGCTGTGGTGCAGGTGGTCCCTGCACAGGGTTCGCTTGTCCCACGTGAGGGGCACCTCTGTTTCGTGTCGATGCAAGCAGCCGTGGTTGGGGGGTCGTTGGCGATCCCCGTCGTCAGCCCTCTCTGCTTCTCATCTTCTCCGCCGGGGGGGGCTCGTGGCCGGAGGGTTGCTGGTGGTCTTCGCCGCCAACCTCTTCCGCTTCGCGCCTCCAGGGCCAGCGCCCGCCCTCCTCTGTGCATCTTCTCCTCCGACGGGGGGGGCGACCCGGTGAGGCCGTCGTCGGGCGGGACAAGTCAGGCGCCCCGGGAAAGCGCTCGGCAAGGTGCGCGGCGGCGGGGAGAGGACCCTCCTGGGAATAATCTTGACATCGCTCGGACGTGTGCATTTTTTCTCGGCGAGAACCATCGAGGACCATCCTGGACCATCGAGCAAAAAAGCACGCACGAAATCGAAAAATTCAAGGGAAATGGGCGTCCGAGCGACGGCAAGGAATTGCCAGCGCCCGCCCCGCAAGTGGGTCTCCGCCCATGCCCATCGTCGTACGCGCCACTGGGTGTGCCGAGGGGGTAGTGGCTGGACTTTTTCCGCCAGGGGGGGCACAGACTCGACGAGTCACCACTGAGGGTGTTCGTTTGGAAGGGACAGCGCCCCAGCGCCTACTCCTCCTCCTCCTCCTCCTCCTCCTCCTCCTCCCCCTCCTCCTCCTCCTCCTCCTCCTCCTCCTCCTCCTCCTCCTCCTCCTCCTTGTGGGGGCCAGCGTCGCCTCCAGGTCCGGCCCCAGGGTCAGGCGGCGGCAGCCCTCCGGCGGCGCGCCGGGGCCCAGGCGGCGGGCGGGGGGGCACCGAGGAGGTGCATCGACGGGAGGAAGGGAAGCCTTCCGCGCGGCCAAGGGCGCAGCCCGAGAAGGAAGCACCTCGGCGTCCTCCTCCTCCTCCTCCTCCTCCTCTTCTTCCTCTTCTTCCCCTTTTTCCTCCTCCTCCTCCTCCTCCTCCTCCTCCTCCTCCTCCTCGCACGGAGGGCGTGCTGACACCCGAGAGGGCGGCTCGAAAACGACGTCTTGGTGGTCTCAAGCGTGGCGCACCGCTCGGCCCGCAAAAGGGGCTCCGGCGCCGGCGTGGGCCGCTGGCGGAGCGGCAGTGGCAAGAGAAGGGGGTCGGCGTCGATGCCCAGGGCCAGCTGCCTGCGTGGGGGTGGCGGAGGGTCCCCGCCCATGCACGTCGCCCTTCACACCACCGAGCATGTCGAGGGGGTTCAGGCAAACAGAACAGGGGGTACACCGAACGGGTGCGTCGTCGGGAGATGACCTGGCGCCCTCCCCGCGACCTGGGGCGCATACAGGGAAGGAAGCACCCCGGCGCGTGGAGGGCGTGCTGACGCCTGAGAGGGCGACTCAAAGTCGTTGCCCTGAGGCTCACAACCACTCGCGGTTGGGGGGGCGTTGGCGGTTCCCGGCGCCAGCGCTCTCTGTTCGTCGGCTCCTCCGTCGCAGGGGCGGCTCGCGGTGGCCGCAGCCCGTCGGGGCGAGCTGGGCACCCCGGGGAGAGCTCTCGGCCAGGTGCGCAGTGCATCACCAGCCCCGAGCGTATCCCCATCCCTAAGGTTGACACGCCAGAGGGCGATGACAATCTCAGGGATGCGCCCTGACAAACTCAGGGAGCCCCTAAGATTGGCATTGTGTTGAGGCGATGCCCAGCTTTGGGGGTAGGGATATGTTCCAGGCTGGTAAGTGAAGGCCGGGGGGGCGTCGGCGATCCCCGCAGTGGACGCCTTCTGTTTCTCGCCCCCTCCGTCGGGGGGGGGTGCGCAGCAGCGTATAGGAAGCATCTCCCTGGAGCCCCCCGGGCGCGGCCCTCCGCCTTGGCCTCGGCAGGGCCCCAGTGGCCGACGGGGTCCTGCGCCGGCCGTGGGCGGCAGGGATCTGGCGCGGGGGATGCGTGGGGGGCCACATGCGAACCCTACCCCTACCCCCCGCGATTTCTGAGGGGGAGGGTGGTGGGGTTCACTTCGTTCGGGACCTCCCGAGCGAAGTGAAGCCCACCCTCCCCCTCAGAAATCGTGTGGGGTAGGGGTAGGGTTCGCATGTGGTCCCCTAATGCGGGCGCCGCGCGGAGCGGGCCCAGCCGTCCTGATGCCGACGATCGCGATCTTGGCCAGACGAGCGTTGGCGATGCCGGCCGCTAACTTCTTCTGCTGATGCCCATCGTCGATGGGCGTTGGCACCTGGAGGCAGGGCTTGCCTGCCGCGGCCATCCATCCCGCGGACTAGTCTCAGATGACCATGCCGATGGTCGCCATCCTGGTCGGACGACCGTTGACGATATCAGCCGCGAACTTCCTCTGCTTCTCCCGAGCGTCGCCGGGCGTCGGCACCTGGAAGCCGGGGCCGCCCGTGGCGGCGGCGGAGCCAGCAGGCTGGTCCTGGGACGGCTCGCTGGAGGCGCCATCGGCCGCGATCTGCGCCCGGCACGTCGCGGGAACCTCGGAGATGACGCCGAGGCCATTCGGGGTGTCCGCGAGCTTCTGGTCAGCGGAGGGCGATGGGCAAGCTGGCGGCACGCCGGTGAGGTCCGAGGTGAGGTAGCTCATCGTCGCCAGGGTGGGCGCGCAGCCACGCTTCAGCTCGGGCTGGCGCCGTCGGACAGAGCTGTCCGTGCCTCCACCCGAGGTGACGCCAGCGGGATCCCAACAAGCCAGGCCCTGCACGTCCTGCTCACCCGCGAGCATGCGGAGCGGGGAGCCCGGGTACCGCGCCCTGTCGCCCAGCGCGGAGCCAGCCAAGCCGTCGTGGATGGGCATGCCGATGATCGCCATCATATGGCCATGCGACTGTCGGCAATCTCAGGCGTGAACTTCTTCTGCTTCTCGTCGGCGTCGCTGAACGTCGGCGCGTCGAAGCCGAAGCCTCCCGCCGTGGCGGGGGAGCCAGCGGTCTGCTCTTGGAACACCTCGCGGAGCGCGCCGTAGGCCACGACCTGCGCCCAGCCCGCTCGCAGCGGAGAGCGCGTGTGCAGCGCCCGATCGGCCCGCGCGGAACCGGTCCAGCCGTCATGGGCGAGCATTCCGATGGCCGCCACCGTGATACTGGTACTGGTGGAAGGGGATGTAAGCGGCAACGCCTTCCTTCGCCCTACCCGCGGGGCCACAAAACCCACCCCTGACCTCTTTCGAACCCCCGAGACCAGGAGGAGGGGGAGAAAGCCGGCAAAGAGGGGTTTGGGAGGCGGCACGCACGCGCACACGCGAAAAGTCTGGTCCGTGTAACTTTCGACAGAGGACTTGGACACCAGGCCTGGGGAGGGGCATGGCTGGGGGGGGGCGGCACGGTCGAAATGTGAAAGCAGGTTGCCAGTAACCATTAACACACCATGAAGAGAGCCCCAGAGGGGGGCCCTGGGGCGGCGCCCGCTCAAGAGAAACAGCAATCTGCGCCGACCCTGTGGGGAATGTGGGGGGGTCCGCCTAAAACAAGAGTGCCCCCAAACCTCACGTGACGGGCCGCGCGCCCGCCGTTCGGAAGTCCCGCGCTCTCTCGCGAGACGCGCCCCTTCCCGACCCTCCTCCCCCGAGCCCCCACGACGCCCCACCCCGCCTCACCAGCAAGGCTCGACTGTGGCCCCCCGCAAGGCCGCGAGCCCTGGCGTCCAGGCCCCACTGCCCTGCCTCCTTCCCCCCTTCCGGTGCCCCGGCCAGAAGGCGAGGCAGAAGTGGGATTTCAGGAGACGGCAGACGCAGCGGTGGTTGCTTGCCCCGGGCCAGCCGGCGCGCGCGCTCGCGCAAACAGGCAGAGCCTGCCGCCGCCAGGTGTCCAGGTTTCCTTGCTGGGATCGGAGCGGGTGGTGTCGGAGGGTCGCGCCGCGTCGCCGATGCATCGGCGACGCAGCTCGATGTGGATCCCGATCTTCTCTCCACGCGGACGTCGCCGCTGCATCGTCGACGTCGCCGTTGCATCGGAGACGCGGCGCGATCTTCGGCCCCCGTCTGCTCCGACCGCCTGCTGTGGGCGGTAAACAGATGCGTAGCCACAGCCTCGCGGGGTCCGCTCTCCGTGGCCGCGTGGACCACAGAGAGACGGGGCGGCGTTGTGCAGATGCCCCGCGCGGAACGCAGTCATCATGGGGTTACGCCTCGGTGCCCATACCGCGATGGTATATATATATATATATATATATATATGTGTATTTATGTATGTATACATGTATATAACATCAATATGAATGGTATACCTATATATATATATATATATATATACTTTTATTCAATTATATATGTATATCTATATATGTTTTATATGTATAATTATAGCTACGCTCGTCGCTCATGAGCCCGCCCAGGGCGGCCGCTTTCGACAACCATGAATCCAAGCATCCCGACATCTCACTTTGGTTCGCCGCCTTCCGCCGGAGGAGCCGCCCCTGCTCTGCTTCCGCCGGCCTGTGCCGGCCTTCCGCCGAGGACGAAGGCAAGGCACTCCTCCTCCTCCTCCTCCTCCTCCTCCTCAGCGCCCCAGGTGGAATCCGTGGAGGTGTTCGTGATGATGTACTCGTTCTGGGGCACGCTGTTTTCCTGCGTGCACTTCAAGCCACCGTCGCCCGACAGCCCGCGCACGATCTCCCGGCGCCCCTTTGCGGGCCTGGAGCGCCTGGCGCCCAGGATCACCCGGACCACCAGCCAGCAGCAGTCCATCCGCATCGCCTTTTGGCGCACGACCGCTCGCCTTTTCCGAGGAGGAGGAGGAGGAGGAGGACCAGTGTAAACCCAAGAGTCATCAGCGATGTTCGAATAATCCCTCCCTCCAAGCTCCTTCTTCGTAGGCCCCCTACAACGGTTCATTTCCATTGATGGAACTGCTTCGTTGACAGACATCCGTTTGAAGACCCTGAAGCATGCCAAAGCAGCGCTCTCGGGATTCCAACGCCACGGATCAACCTGACTGTTGCCTTTTGACATTCCTGAAACGTGCCAGCGAGCCATTCTTTGGATTCTAACACCGCGAGAACGTAACTGTTGCACCCTCATAATCTTGTATCCTTCCAAAGTAACCGTTTCTGGTATTTCGATCATGGGGATCCGTGAAACTCTTGCGCATTTTATGAACGAATGTACGCGGCGCTAACGCGGGAACCAAATTTTGAAAACTAACTGCCCTCAATCCGTGAAGCTCTTGCAATGTTTGAAAACGAATGGGCGCGGCGCTAAAGCGAGAGTCACATGTTGAAAACGGTTTCCCCTCAATCTGCGAAATTCTTGCAAATGTTTAAAACGAATGTGCACGGCGCTAAAGGCGCGAGCCCGACTCGCCCTTCATCTGTGAACCTGTTGCCAATTTTGCAGCTTCAGGGTCATAAATGGTGAGGAAGTCTCAGGCGAAACGCACGGCCCGCCCTAAAAACTGGCCTCGGGGTGCGACAGGTAGAAGTTATGTATAAGGAAAAGGATTGGAGGAGGAGGAGGAGGAGGAGGAGGAGGAGGAGGAGGAGGAGGAGGAGCGGAGGAGGAGGAGGCATCTGCTTCTTCCGCAACTTTGGCACGACGTGCCCGTGGCAAAATTGAGCATGACCTCCGACAATCTGGCTCCATGCTCCTGCTCCGCCAGCTGCCGAAGGAGAAGACGGTATGAAGCGTTGTCCACTCCGTTCTCCACCCCAACTTTGGAGTAGTGCTCGGCATCGTGTCGCCAAAGTCTTAGACCTGCAGTGTGCCGAGCATCGCGCAGCAGTGCCTGCGGAGGGTCGATCCGCTTGTTACTTGTGCATGTAGCATCTGGGACCTGCCACTCCTCCTCCGTACCCTTTGTCGACGTCGGTGAAGAACCACGTGCTAGGGTCAACTGGTTTACACCCAAGGCGCAGCAACTGCAACACGAAAACCGAGATGGGTCAGTGGATGCGCCTGACCTGCTTCCTCGCGGGCTGTGCCTCCAGAGAACCTACAATGTTCGGCCATACGTGACGGATGCTCGGTCGCTTGTCTGGGTGAGCTTGCCATATCTCAGGAGCCATGGATGGGCACACAATTGCTGGATCATGCTGAACTTGCTCAGACTTTCAAGCATTTATCAAACATCTGCCGGTCGTCTGGGCCGCCCACGTGGATGCTAACGTGCGCCGGCGTTCCGTGAGCTGCTGGCCGAACATGCCGTGCACCCGGAAACCGTGTGATCTCGGTGGCCGTCCGTCTGCCCGCTCGAAGCGGGACGATGATGTTTCCTGGAAGTCCGCGTGTGCCTCCTGATTTTTTCCGTCATCTGCTTGTGCTTCTCGTTCCTTTGAGCTCTGATGGCTCGACCTCCTCGGCCGCAGCTCAAATCGATGCCGAGATATGGGGCCGGTCGAGCATGCCGAACACGGAAACCACGAATCCGCACCGCTCTCATAATAGCTACAGCATCCTCCGTGTGTGTGTGGGTGTTTGCACAAACAACCGACTTCGGAGACACCCGCTGCTTATGCTTTGCCAAGGATCGGCACGTACCAACAATACATCTGAACAAGCGGGTCACCCGCTGGTTTCCATACCGTTTGCTTTGACATGCTGCCCTTTGTATAGGCTGCCGCTGCAGTTAACCTTCCAGTATGCGTGCTGACCAAATTTGGCGACACAAAACATCACATCTGAACACACTTTGCCGAACTGAATTTCTTGAACCAACCACGCTATCGTTAAAGTTCATCCACCCATCATAGGTGACCCATATGAGGGCTGGCTGTGGTGACGCGCTGCGTAACGAAATACGTGAGGATCCGTGCAAAGCGTGTGCCACTGCGCAAGCCTCGGACAACCGATTGCGAAGGCTCGAAGGGGTCCGTGGCCGCACCGTCCTGGAGAAGCGTGCGGCAGACGATACACTGTAGCAGTTTAAGATATAGAGTGACTGGTGGGAATGGCATGCGTAGCACTGCGCGCGCCAACAACATCCACGGAATGCTGTCGTAGAGCTGCTGGATGTCTGTGAGGGCCTGGCCAAAATTCATGCCGATATTGCGTGCCAGTTCCTCATCGATGAACCTGAGATAGGCCTTTTGCCTGTAACTGTTGCCCTCGATGGCCGCGTCCCAGGCCGCCGTGTGTTCCCTCGACCAGTCCCTCGCCGCGGGCTCGCGGATCAAGGATCACATGCGCCCCAGCATGGAGACACGGCCTAAAGCCTTGTCTTCCGCGGTCTTCTTCGAGATCAACCAGCATATACTGATCATTAAATGAATTGGCCACGTCAGCTGACTCTCGACGGCACCGAGCATCAACGCCAGCTTCGCGATGGCCGACGTGGGTAGCCACTGGTAGTCCACTGGCGTGGACATGTCCACACCGAGCCCCAGGGGGCCTTCATCTTCTTAAAAGGCTCGGTAGATGGCGTCGGCCATGATGGGCTCGAGGGGCTCCTGAATCGCGGCTGCTTTGATCTCCTGAGAAGCTCGGTAGTAGCATTTCGATTAATGGGCGTGGGAGCCCATAATTTCCGATATACGCTCTGCTTGCTATCCGTGGTGTCCTCGGGATGGAACGTGAGCTTGTCTCCTCCGACGACCTCGCTGGGCGGTAAAGGCTAGGGCTTCAGCGAACGGTGAAGCACGCTGACAGCCGTTGGCTCCGTGATCTACTTCTTGACATCAGGTAAAGCCTCGTGCAGAGCAGCTCTGTGGGACCTTTCCATGATCCACCTGGCCGCCTCAGCAGACTGTAAGACTGAAGCTTATGTGTCCACGGGCGCGGTGAGCATGGCCACCCACTGCGGCGACGGAGGTTCTTTACCTTCCCGGATGATTGCGTGCACACTTGTAAGGGCGAGTCATTCAAGCAGGTAATTATTGCGTCACTTGCTTGCTGCCGTTGCCACGCTTCCTGTGGTGTGCCAGCCCTTGACGTACGGTGCGTCGTCTGCTTCACCATTGGCACTTGATGTCGCGCAGTGGGATGTCATGATGATGCAAACTCTGCCGCATCGGCTGCACAGGGCAGCGAGGGCCCGCAGAACGAGAGATCACTCCAGTCGCCTCACCAGCAGGACTGTGATGAGTAACATCGCTGCCTCCGTGTCTCGGCCCACGAAGCGTACCTTCCCGATGTAGCTGTGCAGCTTGAGGGATCGAGCCCAAATGCTACTCAGAGAGTCAGCAGTGGGGAGACGGAGGGGATTGAACAAGCACCTGGAGTGAACCCGACCTGAACCCTGGAGGAAGCCCGAACTTCCTCGGGGATTTGAAGTTTGGTTTCAACAGGTTCAAGGACTCCGCGGGATAAGCTACTGCTCATACTATGTACTGGGGGGGGGGACTGGGGTTGCTCACTGTTTAATTTCGACTGATAATCCTGATTCGTTTGCGCCGAACCTGGGCTTCAAACACCGGTGTGAATCGAATTGGTGACGGGGGAGCTTGCCTGGGGGAGAGCTTCCGTGCCACTCGACCCTTCGGCGGACCCTCGACCACACAGCCACTAAGCCCAGCGCTCTGTACGTGCCTTGGGGGGGGCCGTGGAGCGAGGAGGAGGAGGAGGAGGTGGTGGTGGATGAGCAAGAGGATGATGACGAGGAGGAGCAGCAGCAGAAGGAGGACCAAGGGAAGGCGGAGGAGAGGAAAGGAGGGGGATGGCAACGATTGAGGAACCAATCGGATCCAGAAGCGGCGCTTGGGCGAGAGCGCAAACCTAAACTACGGGAGCAGGGCGCCGGTCGTGAAATGCGGCCAACACTGCCGCGGGAGCACAATTTCTAGGACCGGAAGCGGTTCCCTTGAACAGATCACTCGAACATGCAACGTTACAGATCATGTGTGTGAAAAAGAATTCGCGGGAGGGGGGCTCGCCCGCACGACATAGTATCAGGGGAGAGGAATACAGTACTCATCAGAAAGAGCGCTTGTGCCTAGCCTAGCTTCAAGCTGCCTCCCCCTCCCTTGCACAAGGGGGGAGCTTCCGAAGTCTCCCCGTTTTCCTCTTTTGAAGCTGGGGGTCCCTTGCCAAAGGCGGGGGTGATTTCCGATTCCCGCTTCCCCGCGCATTTTGACGCCAGGGGCAAGCCCGGGCTCCCCTTTCCAAAGGGGTGAGAGGAGGGCTTCGGAAGCCCCCCTCCGTTGTAGAAGGCAGGGGCCTTTTTGCCAAGGGGGCAGGGCTTCCGAAGCCGCCTCCCCATCCCACCCTTTTGATGCGAGTGACGAGCGCTGGCTCCCCTTTCCAAGGGCTGGCGTGCTGCAAGGAAACCAAGCAGAGCAGTACACACTGAGCTTCAGCAGCAAGGCGAAGAGAACGCATGCGCCGAGGGAGAGACGCGCCGGAGCGCACCCTTCGCGGGTTGCTGCAAGCGTGGTCGCGCAAACCATTCCCGCTGACACTGCCCACTCTGCAAACACACTGCCGCCACTGCCGCTAAAAGGCATGCACGACGGGTGAAGGATTGAGATTAGCGTGCGGTCCAGCTGTTCCGCCCGAGGTTTGCGGGCTGCCCTCGTGTAGGTTGGGCTGCTCTGGCGTGGTATTGAAGCAGCGAGGATGCGACGTGACGAAGGCGGGTGGCAGCATGCTGCAGACGAAGGGCCCGTCCTTCTCTTCCTCCTCCTCCTCCTCCTCCTCCTCCTCCTTCTCCTCTTCATCGTCTTTATCGCATATTCTCCTCCTCCTTAGCCCCGTCTCTCCTCCCTCCCTCCTCCTTGGCCCCCCCTTCCGTGCCTCCCCCCCTGCCAGCG